CCCCAAAACCCCAAAACCCCAAAACCCCAAAACCCCAAAACCCCTCGATTACGTATTAAAATTGAGGTAACAGTCACTTATTATTTTACTCTGGTAAATCAATAAAATAAAAATGAAGGGAAATGCAAGAGAAGAAGAGTAAGTAAACACTGCTTTGATAGTACCAATATGTCCTCTTATGTGCCTTATCTTATATCTCTTCTCACTGGCTTAGATCCTCGATCCAGTATTTTTGTCAGAAATGGTTCGAATTGGTGCAAATCGCATACAAAAATATGAAATCCGTTGATAGTTTAGTTTTGCTTAATATTTATGCTTCTAATCCTTTGTGTGTCTTTTGATAAGTCCAAGTATAAATAGACTTGCTTCTCTAACGTTGAAAGCAAGTGTCCCAATTCTTACGGACTAACATTCAATAAAGAAAGCCGTTCCAGACTAAGATCAAACCTTCCAGATACAAAAAGATAAAAACCTCTGAAAATAAATAAGCTAGTGAAGCTCAGTAAGATGTGAAAGGAGTATGTCATGAATAAAAGCAAGACCAATGGTACTGAGGTAAATATTTGAGCGTTCCAGACTCTCTTGTCTCAGACCTCACCAAGTTCTATAGATCGCCAAAATTATTCAGAAACAGCATAAAGGTATGCTCTCAAACTTTCACTATTTTACTGTTAAAGACCTCGGACAGAGGCTAATTTTTAATACTATATCAAAATTCCTTCTCTCGGTAAAGTTCAAATTATGCACAGCTTCTTTGATAGAAAATTTCTGAAGTTTCTGGCAACAGCCTTTGGAGCTCACCTTTTACCAGAAAGGCCTCACTAAAGTCAGATTTGTTCATATCTTCTAACTGCTATTTTCCATATCTTTCACAGTTTGTGATTGCACTTTTGGGGCGATCCTTACTGTTATTTTAAGAATTAATCGTTAATTCACAAAATAAAATTAAGGGTTCACAGTAATTACGTTGAGCTGCCTCCTTCTATTGGTTCAAATAGGAACTCTTCATTGTTTAGATACTATTATAAAGCTTGTTGTGATGTTTTGTAACCCTTTCGAGTAGATCTGTATTCGAGCTCAAAGCATACCTGCTTTAAAAATGTTCAGAGAAGAGTCTATGACGCTCTGAATGTCTTTACTGCACTTGGAATTGTGGAGAAGAGAAGGAATTATATTATATATAAAGGCGAAAGTGGTATTTCAAAGCCTTCTAATCCTCCTCCAAAGTCTCTGGTGGTAAGTCCAAAGTTTTATCGGCTATAGGAGCAAGTAAACATAAAGAGAACAGAAATGATGTCAAAAAGACTATATCTTTTAGAAAAAGCCAAACAATATTTCGCCATCAAAAAGCTTATTAATAGGAATAGGCAGAAATACCAGAGGATTCAGGTCCTCGGAACCCTAAAACTCCCTGTTTTAGTCGTTAGCTTCAAGAAAGAGGCACAATTTGAAGTTGAACAGAGAAAATCTAACAGTCAGTTGAACATCAAGTCAGATACAAAGCCAAGAGTTTTGAATGATATCTCTAAGATTGTGATGCCTAAGCAAGAGGCGAATAAAAGTACTTGGAAGAGGTACCTTAGTTGGTTAACCTCGGTTAATAAGAAGCTCAAGAAAAATCGGAGCAGTGGAAAGCTTTCAGATGGCTCTAATAATTCAGGAGAAACACATGGTAGGTTATGACAAATATTTCAAGACATTTTTGAGAGTTCCATTATCATTGAGTTAGAGTCTAGATCCTCTTTTATTGTCAACTGTTGGATCTCTAGTATGCAACTATGGCTTCCTTTTCTAGAACTTTCTGCTAAATTTTATTTTTGAGATTAAATTTAATTTTGGATACATCTCCAGCATTATATAAATGGCGCGTTTGGCAAATTAATCTCTGGATTTTAGAACTGCCATTTTCTCATTGATTTGTGACTTATCTTAGCTGAAAATGAAGATCAGAGTAAGAAATATTTGGGCAACCTTCTTGAAGCCATCCAGAAGCATCAAGAAAAGATTCTGAAATATCAAAAGAGAGGTAGGAAGCCTAGGAGAGTGTCTAAGAAGCCAAAGACTCCTAGTACTAGCAATACCACTCCAATGAGTCAACACATTGAACAAACTGTCCAAAAGAAGCAAAATAAAATTAGCGCTAAAAAGAAGAAGAATTCTCTAATAGGCGCGGAAACTGGTAAACCCATTTTCTGATGATTTGTAGATGAAGAAAAGAAAGAACAGCTTCCAAAAATGAAGAAAAGGGAGAAGAAAGCTCTTATGATAAAAGGTAAGTCTTGCATACTTTTTATCAGAATTTTTCATGATTCGAAATTATTATAGATGAAAATACTGAGGTTACTATGCCAAATCCAGACAAGGTTCAACCCAAAGAAGAGGCTAAAGGTAAGCATACTCTTACTAGGATTTCCTCTATTTTTGTGCTCTAATTAATCACTGATTTAGGGGGACAAATTAAACAGGAAATAATGGAGATGGACACTCCGGTGAAGTCAGGAGTCTCAATCAAGCCAACCTCAATGATCGGGCCTGAGAAAAATCCAGAATTTGAAAAAGAGAATCATTACCATGAGTTTGTGAAAAAGGAGCTTGATATAAAGAACGGTTTGGACAACCATTCATTTATGCAAGATGGTAGGAGTGAATCAGACAGTCAAATTTCTGAGACATTTTCTTTAGTTCTCAGTAGCTACCACAGTAATAGTTGTAAGTAATCACTTCATCTGTTTCATATAATATTTCCCACTGCGTTCATTTCAAATTACAAATCATAGTTCTTTCTTATACTTGTAATGTAGGCAGCCAAGACAATATTTTCCCAGGTCTCGAGAGTTTCAACTTGAAATACCTGGGGCATAGCCCAATCAACGAGATTGAGGGAATAACAGGCGTCAGATCCTTCCAATATCTTGAATAATCCTTCTCTTTAAACTCTCTTCATATATCTTATTAGTTCTTCTTTTGTGGGAAATATTTTAAAGTATCTTTAGGGCTTCCCACATACTCTCCCAGCCCTTTTAAAAGCCAAATTCCCGATAGCGCCGGGTGGCTATTTTCTGTGCATACCCTCTTATTCGAGTCGAGGGAGGAGCTTGGATATTTGCTCTGTGGGGTTTAGAATTCAAACTGAATTAGTTTCAAAAATTATAATTAAAAAGGGGTTTTGGGGTTTTGGGGTTTTGGGG